ACCTCAAGAGGTAGAAAGAGGATAGGACTGCGAATTTATAGAAAGCAGACTCAGTCTATAGAGAAACCTTTGGCGAGGATCAAGAATTAAGGTTAGAGGGCTCTCCAATTGCGGAGATGTCTTCTTACCGGGCGCTCGATGAACATGGAAGACCACAGACCAGTTGATGGACTTGATGGACCAGAGCTGCAAGCCCACCTGTTTAATTGGTTGGTCTCCCTGCGCTCTGTTAAGCAGCAGAGAGGTGGCCTTACACTATGGCTATTCGAAACCTCTCAACACACAGAGCGCTGAAACGACGTCATAAAGTATAACCCACGCACACAGCATCTTGTCGGATTTCGCAGTTCCAATAGGAGATCAATGTCTAGTCTTCGCGATCCAGCGGAATACGTCTCTAAGGCAGAACATCGATGGGCTGGTCATATAGTGAGAAGGACAGACGACAGATGGACACTAAGTACTCTGGAACGGATCCCTCGCAAAGCAAAACGTCCTCGAAGGATGTCACCGACCAGATGCGCTGGGATAGACCAGCTGAATTCTCAACTAGTAATAATTGGATCTGAACCTCGTGAACGTCTCCGCCGCGGTTCAACACCAACAAGAGGTTGACGCTAGTGAGAGATAGAAATGGATGAAAACAGTGCTCGGGCCTGTATGACGAGTGAAGACAGGCTATCTAAGTATATAAGCAGGATGTGTTTCTATTTAAGTATCTACAAACAACTAACTAATTAGCATCAATCACGAAATGTTACTTTTTTTTAAATCGAAGGAGTAGCAGATCAGATCATTTGTTTGTACATGTTCAACATGATATGATAATACTTCTATAAGAAAAAGTATAAAAAGATGAATTACGCGTACATCAACATATTAAATAAACTAATAAGCAGAGAACTTATCCAGTAGATCATTATGGAATGGAAAACGTTAACTTCGAGCAGCAGATTGTGAATAATATAACAAAGGAGTGCTTCTCACTCAAAGTGACCTAATTTTACCCTCTAGTTTCAAAAATCGCTTAGCAATTGTGGAAGAGAGACTTGAGGCAGCCTTTTCCAAAACCTTTGTGGCATACAGTTTTATGAAAGACATTCGAGAACAACATATGATAAATATCGTTAGAAAATTTTCCCACCATTTCTACACATATCACAGCAGAATTGCTGGCATTTCTTGGAACAATATTCGATCAATACGTGAAAAGCTATGGTTTTTAGAAAGCTATTTACTTGATAGGGAAACCGCAATCATATTCCTTACATCGCTGTTAAAAAACATCTTCCTAGTCTTCTTTTTGAAATTGAATGCTCATTTCTGTCCACTCTCATTTCTTGTAAAC